AATCACAGCGATTCACAATCTTGATAACTTTGCTCTCTACAAGTGCAAAACACACATTTTACAGCTCACTAACACAAAACTTACTGTAGCTACTGTTCATTTCTCCGTCCATTTATTCATCATCATCCGCTGACTTTTCTCGCCAGTCTTATATACTAACAAAAGAGGTTTCAACAAAATTCGAGGAATTCCCTGATAATTCGAGAAACTCAGTCACTCATGCGTGACCACAGTCACGTGACTTCCACTGTCATAACAGTATTTAATGTTATATTATTTCTTTCACACAAATTATGTACAAAAACAGATTTATAGCATTTTAAATTTATACCAGTTACCTGCTCAGTGATTTTATAACTGGTTACTGCTGATAACTTAACTTTACCAAAGTACCAAGTAGTATTAGTAGTATGCCTGTGTATTTGCCTTTCATTACAGTTATTTTGTCATGTAGATGACTTTATTGCAGTTATCCACTTATGATGTTCCTTTTAATACATATGATTTATCTTCACATAGTTTTCTTTTAATCAATTTTTATCCTTATGATGACTGAATTACATATATTACAGGCTCCTAGTCCTAGTGGTCACAGTCACAGTTCTCGCAAAGAGTCTGAACCTCGACCACAACCATCTGGACCTTCAGGGGAACCTGAAGTAGTAACCATGATGTTACAGAAGACTAACAGTGGAATGGGTCTAAGCATTGTTGCAGTGAAGGTGAGCACAAACAATACTGTTCTTCATCCTTGATTATCAGTACTGAACTTAGTTCTGTTTAAGAAAGGAATATGCAGTTTATCAAATTGTGTGTAGTATAACCCAGTAAAACAAATAATTTAAAGTGGTAAACTAAGCACACTCATTATCTATTTAATCAAAGAAAAAAACACTGAATATTGATGAAAATTTGAAAGTTGCTAAAATCTTATACATCATTTAACAATATGTATACAGTTTTTTTTTCGTAAGTTGTACAGTGAGTGTCTATCTGTTTAGTAAAAGATCTGTGAAGAGTTTAATGACTGCTCTGTGCAATGAAGGATGTACAAATAGTGCCTGTGTAGTGAAGTATGTATTAAAGTGGAGCAAGTACCTGTCTGTTTTTATAGGGTGTATCAATAGTGCATTGACTGCATATCTATGCAATGAAGGATGTACAAATAGTGCTGTGACTACCCATCTGTGCAGTGAACAATATATCAGTAATGCAGTGTTTCACTCTTTTTAGTGAAGGATGTATGAAGAGTGCACTGATTGTCTGTCTGTCTTTTCAGTGAAGGATGTATGAACAGTGCACTGATTGTCTGTCTGTCTTTTCTGTGAAGGATGTATGAACAGTGCACTGATTGTCTGTCTTTTCAGTGAAGGATGTATGAACAGTTCCCTTATTCCATGTCTATGATGACATACTTATGAATAAAATTGTATAGCTGTGCATCCAGGAATGTATGAGTTTAAGAAGTGGTGTATCTGCATGGTATGCAGTGTACTCATAGATTAGTGTGATTGTTTGTTGCTTGTTAAAGATTGAATCATCAAAAGGGAGAGACTTGTTTGGATTATGCATTATTTTGCCTTATTTGCTCACATATCTTTTGCAATATGTCTCTTGTCCTTAATGTTCTAGCTTAATCCTATCTGGTATAATTTAACATAACATGCTTTGTTTACAAAGAGAGAATTAGATGATTGTAAGTGTGATAAAAGTCCCAGACAAACACTGATTATAGCAAAGAGATATGAATGATATTTGTCTAAAATGGCTTCTTCTGAGGAGAGTTTTTACAGAAATAGTTAGCACACGGTTCAGGTTCTTTAATATTACCGTGTAATTCATGTAATCAACATCATCCAGAACTACACTTGTTTTGCCTGGCTCATATGAATATCCCTTTTGTTGGTAGATAAAAATTACACTTAGTCGTTTAACATGGAGTAATTGCAGAACAATAACCACCAACAAATTAGGGAATGGGAGTTACTGTGACGGAGTTATGTGTGTAAGAATCCTGATATGTAGCTGTAAAAATCAATTCTTTTAACAATTTGAAGGAGTTGAATGAAATAGCTGTACTGGATGAATCATCTAAACACTAGAACCTAATTTCTTTTAATCTGCTGTGTAAATGCGTGAGGAAAATGCACAATAAAAGTTAGTTCAAATAATTTAAATGACTTTTTTTTTGTTCTTACAACAAATTCTGAGTTCTTTGCACATTTAATATCAATATGATACTAATATGTCTCAAATGTGTGAAAAGAATAATACAATGTCAAAGATAATAAGTATGAAAAGTGTTTCAAAATATATTACGAATTTACTTACGATTGATACAAATTTTTGGTGATATTTTTTTTTCTATTTGATAGTTACTAATTTAAGGAAAATTCTTTCTAAAATAAAAAGAAGTAATAAAAACATTAGTAACAGATAAGAAATTTTTTCTTTCACTTTGCAAGTTTTACCAAACTGTGATTTATTAGAAGATTTGTATTCATTAAATCGATAAATTTTGTTACTCGTATCTTGAGCTGTAGGTAGTGCGAGGGCAAGTGATTTCCTTTAATTTGCATTTCTTCTTAATGATTACCTGATGTGGATTGTGATATAGTTGAAAGTTAACAGTTATGTTGTGTTGCTAAAGATCCAATTGCATCTATGGCGTAAAACTTTGGGCTAGAAGGAAATATTTCATCACAAATATCAAGTTAGTATGGCTGTTCATGTACAAAAGTTGGTCATGTTGGTTGGTGGTCCAAGGGATTAAAAGACATCACTGAATGCCAAGACGGAAGATAATTATAGTATTTTGGCACTTGTGTATAAATTTAAAATCATGAATAATATTCAACTTTAAACTGGTACACAATTAAAAACATTTTATTTAGACCTATCTATGGCCTTCAAAAAGTTGACGACTCTACATGTTTCGACGTTACAACGTCATCCTCAACTTTTTGAAGGCCATA